GTAAATCCTTTCCCCTCATCTGATCATATGCACCTTTAATTAGTTTCCCTCTTATTTCTGATTTTGGAGAGAAATTCTCCTTCCTTCCTGCATCTTCCCTCCCAAGAATACTTGGAGGCTCCCTCTGCACAATGACCATCTCTGCTCCCTTTGTGTGCCCAGGGGAACTTGAGTCCCTTCACAGATGGAAGGAATGGAAACCTGAAGGAGCTGGTTCTTCATAATGAGATGAAGGTGAGGAATTTTGGTTGGGATAAGTGGCAGCACTGAGCAGAGAGGGGAGGTCCTTATCATTGTCCATCGGTTCTGGGATGGGGCTCTCTTTAGTTTGGCTGGAGATTTCTAGCTCCATTGTCCTTCATGGCAATGATGTGTTTCCTGTGTGGCTTTTTTTCCCTACAATTTATGCTCCTTCAAGGGGATTGTGGGGGCTCCTTTTGGGGACCACTACACACAACCATAGAGGAAGGACTTCTTTTCATTTAAGCAATCATTCAACAGGTTGTATTGAATGCCCATCAAACACTGTGCTCTAGGATATGGTCTCTTGTTTTCAAGGAGCATACGGTCTAGCTAGGGAGACATTTTGAAAACAACTAAATGTTAAACTAGATATGAAGGTAGTATATTTACCGAAATGTCTCTAATAGAACTTTTCTTTTGTGGTAGCCAAAATACTGGAAACAAGCTGGGTTCCAGTTGATTGGCGAATGCTAAAGAAATTGCAGCTTGTGAGTGTTAATACACTATAAAAATAACAAATTTGGGGAATACAAAGGAACATTAGGAAACTTGTATGAGCTAATGCAGAGTGAAGTAAGCAGAATGAGGAGGATAATGTACACAATTGCTACAATAATGTAAAAAATACTAAAATTAACCTGAACCTGTTATTTACACTGTCAGATGTAGTCATTCATTAAGTTAGCTTTCTTAACCATTTCTCTTTGTTGCAAGGGAGATCTTTGTTAGGAGGCTTTTTTTTAAAGGGAGAGGATATATCTGGAAACAACTATTACATTAAAAAAAAGACATCAATAAAATTTATTTTTAAAAAAGAAATGTAAAAGGGAGTTGCTATAAAAATTTCTTTTATGTGCAGTAATAGTTGAAAAAATGCAGAAGCCACTGAGTTTGAAATAATCAGAAGGCTTGGGACTTGAATCTAGAGATAAGAGAAAGGCAAATGTCATCCTGATTTTTTTAGAAAGGGAAGAGAAAAGTTTTAAACAGTGGCCAGTGATCTTGTCTTCAATTCCTAGGAAAATACTAGGATGGATAATGAAAGAAATAGGCAAAATTATTTTTAAAACATTCTTAACAAAAATTATTTTTAAAAATAATTAAAGAAAAGGGCAGCCAGTCATGTAGTAGATTGAACACTAGGCCAGTAGTCGAGAAGACCTGAGTTCAACTCTGGCCTCAGATACTTACTAGCTAACCTCTCCTTGCCTCAATTTCCTCATTTGTAAAATGGGGATAATAATAGCACCCAGGACTGTTTTGAGGACAAATGAGGTACTGTTGGTAAAGTGCTTGGCATAGCATCTGGCATATAGTATGTAAAAGTTATTCTGTTGTGTTATTATTATTATTATCGTCATTATTATTAAATGTTGGCAAACTTCCCAAAAGGAAAGCAGTCATTACAAAGAGCCACTATGGCTTTACCAAGAATAAGTCATGCCAGGCTTACTGCATTTCCTTTTTTGACAAGATTATTAGACTAGTAGATGAGGAGAGTATTATGGATCTGGTGTACTTAAGTTTTAGCAAAGCTTTTGATGAAGTGTCTCATGCTGTTCTCATGGAAATATAGGATCAAGACTGGTTGTATCAAACTCAAATGGAAACATAGGTCTCTAAACCATACATAAGAATCCCGTGGGCTGCACATTGACTTAGACAACCACATATTAACATTATCTCTGTTCTGTTGTATTTTTACTTATTTTGTTAAATATTTCCAAGTTAAATTTTAATCTGCTTTGGGCCACACTTGGGAGTCTTGATGCTGTGATACAGTCTGCTCCGATCTAGACCAGGGGTTCTTAACCAGGGGTCTGTGAACTTCTTTTTAAAAATATTTTGATAATTGTATTTAAATGTAATTGGTTTCCCTTATAATCTTGTATTTTATGCACTTAAAATTTTTTTTTTGCATTTTATTTTACTTTGGTTTTGTTTTTTTGCTTTTTGGTGAGGCAGTCAAGGTTAAGTGACTTGCCCAGGGTCACACAGCTAGTAAGTGTCACGTGTCTGATGTCACATTTGAACTCAGATTCTCCTGACTCCAAGGCCAGTGCTCTATCCACTGTGCCATCTAGCTGCCCCCATTTTATTTTACTTTAAATATTATTGTGAGAAGGGATCCAAAGACTTCACCAGGCCATCAGAAGGGTTCATGACGCAAAAAATGACTTTGCTCTAGATGATAATACAATTGTTAGGTGGATGAAGAATTGATTGAAATGTCCTGACCCAAGGAATAGTTGTTCATGGCTCAATGTCATCGTGAAAGGAGTTCTCTAGCAGTGTCCCAGAAATCTATAATCTGTACTTGACCTTGTTGCTGTTGAACATTTTTATCAAAGTCTTGAGTGAATGCATAGATGGATACAAAGCAGGGAGGGATGGCTCACACATCAGGTGATAGAGTCAGACTTGATCTTGACAGTCTTGACAGGCTAGAGGATCTAACAGAATGAAATCCAGTAGTGATATAGTTAAGTTCTTACCCTTGGATGCAGCATGGCACACTGAAAAGAACCCTGGCTCCAGAGTCCAAGGACCTGGCTTCAGATTCTCTCTTTGCTGCTTACTACCTGTTTGACCTTGGGCAAGTCACTTGATCAGATGACCTCCCAAGTACTTTCTGGCTCTAGGTCTGTGATCCTAGGAACATAACAAGTATAAGATGAGTAGTTAGAGAGCCATTGTCAAAACAAAACACCAACTCAGGGTTTTAGTGTACTGCAGAATCAATATAGGTCAGCAGTGTGATACAACTACCAGAAAAAGCTAATGTGATCTTGGGTTAACTTAAGAGAGTCATAGCTTCCAGAAAGAGGAAATAGGGTGCAGGTGCCACTGCACTCTGCTCTCATCTGCCCTCACCCAGAGTGTCATATTTCCCTCTGGGTGACATGCTTTAAGAAGGACGTTGATGAGCTAGAGTGTCAATAGGAGGATAACCAGGATTGTCAAATGCCTAGAGTTCATGTCATAATGGGATTTGTTGAAGACTAAGTGTGTTTAGCCTGGAGAAGACTCCGGGTGTGGGGGAGACTGATAATTAAGTCAAGTATTTGAAGGGATGTTGTGTTTTGGAGGGATTAGATTTTTTCTGTCCAGTTCCAGAAGACCAGTGAGTAGAAGATTTAGAGAAGCAAGGTTAAACTTGATGTCGGGAAAAGCTTAACAATTAGAACTGTCCAGAAGTGCAATGGCCTGTCTTCAGAGGTGATAGGTTCCTCTTCCTTGGAGGTCTTCAAGTAGAGGCTGGATGGTCACTCATCAAGTATATTATAGTGGGTATTCCTTTCATGCATTGGGTTGAACTAGATGGCCACAGAGGTCCCTTCCAACTCTCCAGTTCTGGGATTCTGAGGGGGGACCTTGAAAGATAGATAGGATTTAGTTAAAATGAAGGGAGAGAAGAGAGCCAGTCCGGGTGGGAGGAACAGCCTAAACAAAGGTACAGAGGTGTGAAGCATCCAGATGAGTGCAGGGGACAAGAAGGAGACTGATCTGAGTAGAGCAGGGGTTGGAGTGAAGCATGAGCCGTGTGACTCTTGGCAAGTCACTTCACCCTGTTTTCCTTAGTTTCCTCTTCTGTAAAATGACCTGGAGAAGGAAATAACAAGCCACTTCAACATCTTTGCCAAGATAGGGCTGTGAAGAGTGACACAACAACAATAAATGAGATAAGATTAATTAAGTAGGGTAGATCTCATTTATATAAGGCTTTGAAAACCTGGTAGAGGAGTTGGGATTTGGTCTAAGGAACAAAGGGGAACCACAGCCAATTTTTGCGCAGGGAAATGAAATTATGAAAATGTTGTTTCGGGAAGATTATGATGTCTGGTAACTGGGTGAAGCACAGAATGGGGATAGAGATTGATGGGGAAAGACTAGAGGCAGAGAAACCATTTAGGAGTATTTCATGGTGTTTTACTTATGAAGTGAAGAGAGGTTGGACTACCTTTGGTGGCAGTAGACATTAAGACAAGGGGAGTAAACCCAAGAACTATTTCAAAGGAAGACATGTCTTCATAGGGAAGAGTAAAAGACTTCTTGGAGATCACTTTGGAATCTCTCTAAGTTTATTGGATTTCCACAGCCAATAGGATAGGCAGGCAAAAAGAATATTTTCTTTTCTCTAGAAGCAAGCCAAGGAGGGGGAGGTAAAGGTTGGGTTAGGAGGGGAGTGGGCATGTTTTTAGTGTGGCAGAAGTTTTGCCTCAAATACCCTCACTTTCCAGGAAGAAGAAGGAAAGGGAATTGTAGCCAGGAACTGTACAAGCAAGAGAAATAGTGGCTTCCACAGTGACGATGGTAGAGATAACAGCTGAACTTTGAACCTAAGTGTGCATCCCAGTGGGACCCCCTTTGGCTTGCTGAGGGGTGTCCAGTCATAGGTTAGAGGTTACAAGGGAGACCTCAACCCAGTAACCTTTATATTGGAACTATTCCTTTAGGGCAGATTTTGCCTCTTTGATTGGATCCTTTTTTTTTTCTTATAGAAAATACCACTCCTGAGTACTGGTACCTTTTAGACTCAGGTATTCACTTAGTGGCATGTGTGGGAGCTCCCTTTACCCCTCCTCTGACCCAGATCTTAGCCACCCAGCTCTTCAGTTTCCCGGGAAGACAGATTAATCTTTCCCTCTCACTCATAACCTCCAACTCCAGTGTATACCACTATCCTCCACCCCCTCTCCCCCCTGCCCCAAAACAACCCAACATACAATCAAAACATAAGACATGGGGTATGCTGGCTCATTCAGGATCTATTGATGATTGAATAGAATGGGTAAAGACAGTTATTTCTCTGGGGAAAACAAAATCCCCAAATATGAGTCAGGTTTAGAAGTGATATGAGTTTAATTCACATTTATCTTTCCTCATCTTCTCTCCCCTCCCCCAAGCAGAATATATGCTCCTTGAGGTCAAAGACTGGTTGCATTTTTGCCTCTTATCTCCATTGGGTAGCACAGTGCCAGGCACATAGTAAGCCTTTAATAATTGTTTGATTGAATTGTCCCTCCCAGTTTTTTAAGAGAATGCCCCTCAGGCTACTATTCTTAATTAAGGCTGTGCCTTTTTCTTTGGAGCTTAGGGGAAGGGAAGGACACATTGATAAACTTCATCTTCTCTGGTGGTGGGGTGGGGGTAGGGGGGAGGTTAGTAGTGAGAGTTCCAGCTATCTGACTTTAATTCTATTTCCTGTCCCCTGGGGCCAGGGCTAAGAGGGGCCAGGATTTTAAGGTAGCTCATGGCTTTAGTGTAGAAGCTAGTGTCTTAATTTAGAGATGGGTGGGGGTAAGGTAGAGGACAGGTTAGAGGAAAAAAGATCTGAAAATGTAAGACTGTCTGGCGAGTAGATGAGAAGAGTTAGTGCTTTTTTTTTGCTGTCTCTTCCTGTTACTCCCATCCTCTCCAAAATGACTTTCTTAGGACAGGACCATCTTAAGCTTCCTCCAGTTTTATGGCCCTTTAGGGAGAAACAAGAGGATGTCCCTACTCCCTTTCTCCAGCCTGTGATGGCCCTGTTTCCACTGATCAACAAAAAATAGGATGTAGTCAACTGTATTTTGAATAGGGGACCCCAGGAATAGTCAGGATATTCTTGGGAGCTTGTCAGTGATGGGAAGAACTAGGTGAACAGAGACTGGAGCAGTTTTCAGGCCTGTTGTTCAGAATCCACAAGGCATCCCATTATGCTAGGTGGATGATCCCCTCACTGTGGTACCAATGAGCTCACTTGTGCCATTAGGAGGACGGCTGCTGGCTGCTTCCCTGGGCCTTACCCTGTCGGGAAAAAGCAGAGGATGTCCATGGATTGGTCCAACAGAAAAATGATGGTAGGAAAGAAAGTGATAGTTATTGGTTGTATGCTTTTCTGACCACTTCTTTCCCAATTCATTTAAAAATTCATGCTCAGTTTAATATTAATGTGATCAGCAATGATAGTAAGTAAAGGAGAAAAGGCATTTAGGACAGTGAGAACCTCAAGCCAAGTTGTCTCTCCCCTTAAACTGATTGCCACATGCTAAGTCTCTAGGAACAGCTCCTGTGACTCTCTTTCCCAGAAAGACCAGCTCTCCAAAGACTGGACCCAGAAGTGGAATGACTGGAAGGTTCTCATGGAGCAGTATAACGTTGACATCAACAAGAAGAAAGCTGGGGTGACGATTGATTCCAACCTGCCCATCTGATGGTGCTGGATGATGATGTGCTGAGCACTGGGGTTGTGCTGTATCACCTCAGGGTAAGGGGGTTTGGAGCACGCTCAGATTTTAAGGGGGAAAAGCCTTTTGTCAGAGTATCCTTCTGCTTCTCCTTCCCTGCTGGGGCCAGCAGGCAGTCAAGGCGAGGCACGGGGCAGGCAGTATGGTTCCCACAGAGCATACTTGCTTCAACTACTTAGTGGTAACAAACCCATTGGGCTCATCTACATTGGTGGTGGTAGCTTCCAGGACGTTGATCCACTTGACCATTTGTGAAAGATCTTCCTCTTTCTTTTGTCTCAGGAGTAGTAAACTTCAGTGGGTCAGTGTACAAAGTTGGGAGTACCAGCATTATTTCCCAGCATGCATCATTATGTGACTTAGACAAGCTGTCTTCTCTTTTCCTTGGCTTATTCATCTCTAGAATGCAGAAAATAAGTCTTGTATTTTTTCTTCTAAATGTTGAGGCATGAGAATAGAGTCATGAAGACCTGTGAAATTCTATCTTCAAAGCATTGTCAGTCCTGCAGAGCTCAATCTTTTTTTTTCCCCTCAAGGCAGGGTTAAATTACTTCCCAGGGGTCACACAGCTAGTAAGTATCAATGGTCTGAGGCTGGATTTGAACTCAGGCACTCCTGGCTGCACGGCCAGTGCTGTATCTACTGTGCCACCTAGCTGCCCCAAGTCTTAAAGAAATAGAGGCTAGTATGACCGTTATACAGTCATAGAATTTTGATCATAAGGGACTTGACCTTCCTGTAACACCTGTAACATCTGTCCATTGGTCCCAAACCTGTGTGTAGCAAAAATTCAATCCTTTTTTAAAACCCACAACAAGACTTGAGATATTTAAGGATTGCTCTTGTGTCCTGGGCAGCTGGACAGAGCACCAGGCCTGGACTCAGGAAGACTCATCTTCGTGAGTTCAAATCCTGCCTCAGACACTTACTGGCTGTGTGACCCTGGGCAAGTCACTGAATCTTGTTTGCCTCAGTTTCCTTATCTGTAAAATGGGCTGGGGAAGGAAATGGTGAACCGCTGTAGTATCTTTGCCAAGAAAACCCCAAACAGGGTCACAAAGTTAGACACGACTGGAAAATGACCGAATAAACTCATGTCCTAACCCTTGCCTGTTCCCTCTAAATCTCATCTTCTCCAGGTTAAATGTCTTCACCTGTTTTAGCATGTATCTTTCAGGATGGCATACTTTCAGGTCCCCTCCTGAATATGTGTGTGTGTGTGGGTAGTCATGCTGGTCATGCTGCTATCAGTCATACTCCTGACATACCAATGTTCCTTTTAAAATGTGGCACTCAAAACAGACACAGTAATCTGACCAGGGCAGAGTTCAGCAGGACCATTGTATCCCTCAGTCTAAACATGATACAGGGTGTCCCAAAAGTCTTAGTGTAGTTTTAAGCTATTAAAGCTTTAAATTTTAATAGCTTAAATTTTTACTAAGACTTTTGTGATACCCTATACATCTATAGTAGTATAAGAATCATAGTAGTTTTATTTCTTTTTTATCTACTGCATTACACTGTATGTTCCATTCTAATCCAATCTAAAAAACATTTATTTAGTACCTGCTATGTGCCAGCATTGTGCTAACCACTGGATATACAATTAATAAAAAGAAAGTCCCTGCCCTCAAGGAGCTTACAATCTAATGAGGAGAGACAACACACAAAAAGAGGCAGGAAGGAGGGGAGAATGGAGGGAGGAAGAAGGCAGGAGACCAGGGGGCATCTTGTTTTGTGGAGTTGAAAGCAGGCAGATAATCAGATGAAGAGAAGAGAATCCAATATTGAATCTGTATTTACTTTTTTTTTTGCAGCTGCGAATTATTTTCTAGCCTCTTCTCCTCCCCCTCACCACCTTCTCTTGTGCTATAGCATTTAACATAATTATAAATATATTTAATATAAATGCTATAGCATTTAAATTTGTCCCTATTAAATTTTGTTGCATTAGTTTGTACCCCTTTATCCAGGAGGCCAAGATCTTTTGGGATCGGAATTCTGCCATTCAGTGGCAGCACTATCCCCCCCCCCAGTTCTTCATTTCTAAATAGAGACTTTACACACACACACACACACACATGCTGTAGAATAACAAAATAAAGAGATTTAGAGACCATTGAGTCCAATTCCCCTCATTTTATAGAGAAAGAAACTAAGACCCTGAGGGAGACCCCTGCAGGTTACTGCTCTCAGGTTTGTTGGGCACCAGAAGAGTCCAGTCTGGCAACCAGAATTGGTCACCTCTCTCTACTATGCTTAATCTGGGTTTCATCCAGTCATCCTGAAAGGACCCATTCATTTGCTATGAGGATCAAATGAGATAGTATTTGTAAAGTGCTGGGCACAGTACCTGGTACACAGTAGACACTTAATAAATATGCTCATTCCCTGTCCTTCCTCCTTCATACAGCCAAATTTTCCTGCTTCACTGCAGATCCAGCATTTACTTTCATTATGGTTTCCTTGTTGTGTTTAAAAGGAGCAGTGAGAGCAGCCCACTAATGGATTCCTTTTTTTTTTTGAGGCAACTGGGGTTAAGTGACTTGTCCAGGGTCACACAGCTAGTAAGTGTTATGTGTCTGAGGCCAGATTTGAACTTGGGTCCTCCTGACTCCAGGGCTGGTGCTCTATCCACTGGGCCACCTAGCTGCCTCCCCCCCATTAATGGATTCCTAATGCAGCTGTTGTCCTTAGAGAAATCATGTTCCCCATGCTGGCATGCAGAAAGAGCTGAGTGCAAGCCTCTGTGCTCAGGGTAGAACCTCAGGCACATCTCATCACAGAGATAGTTTTTCAGACATAAGATTGAGGAAGCCTATCTTCTGGCACATGGGAATTTGAGTGCCTACCTCATTGTATTCCCTCAGGCAGCCCTGGCTTTATACTTTCCCTGAATTGGGGTCTGAGGTACAACAAATATGTAATTCTTCCCCTTCCTCACCCCCTCCCATTCTCTTGGAGGTGAAGTGGATAGAGAACTGCCCTCAGTGTCAGGAAGGCCTGGGTTTACGTCACCCCTCTAATGTACGCCGTGCAACCTTGGGCAGATGCCTTACCCCCTCAGTGTTCTAGCTAACTATAAGACTATACGTTTTTGAAGTGATATTTTATTTTTCCCAATAACACATGAAGACAATGTTTTCATTTTTTTAAATAGAGGTCCAAATTTTCTCCATATCTCCCTTCCCCCTCCCTAAGATGGTGAGCAATTTGACATAGGTTATATATGTGCAATTGTGTAAAACATATTTCCATATTAGTAAGACTATAAAGTGAAGGTGCCAGGCTGCATCAGTAGAGGGAGTTTCTTACCAAAGGAGTTCCCATATCAGTGAAATCCCCAGTCCAGCTCAGTCCCTCCCCACTCAGCCCAAATCATAAAGAAAGGAAGGTGTACCCCCGATGTGGTAGGTTAGGCATTAAATTGAGGAATCTTCCAGGTATTTGAGGCAGAATCGATCTGCCTTCCATACTATGCCGGTCCTTAGATTACTGTTATTCCTGAGAAGGCAGGAAGTAAAATGATAGCCACCTAGCTATAGGTAGAATATTACAGGATGATGAAAAAGTACCTGGATGCTTTAAAGGAGAGGATGACCTCAACTGAATACAGCCCAGTTAGTTCAGGGACCTCTCAGGGGGTTTTTCTGTGGAACTGAGGGGACTGAGTTTTTCTTAAGCTTTTTATATGCTGTGTATATCTTGTGCTCTTTCCTTGTGGAATGGAAGGCACATTGGGCTTGGAATCATAAAGCTGCATGGGTTTTAGGTCTGGCTCTGCCCCTTCTTTCTTTTTTCTTTTTTTTTAGGCAATTGGGGTTAAGTGACTTGCCCAGGGTGACACAGCTAGTAAGTGTCAAGTGTTTGGTCTGAGGCTGGATTTGAGCTCAGGTCCTCCTGACTTCAGGGCCGGTGCTCTATCTGCTGCGCCACCCAGCTGCCCCATCTGTCCCCTATTTCCCTTGTGGCTCTAGGCAAGTCACTTAACCTCCATGTGTCTGTTTCCTCATCTGTAAAATAGACATGCTAATACTTCTCTCAGGGCAGTCGTGAGGTGCAGATCTGATGAAATGATCTGCAGTCATTTCCAAATGAGTACTTGCAAACTGTAACAGTAAATGTTGAGCTGTGATTGTTACCCATGCTCCCTGTTTGGAACCAGCATCCTAATATATTGGACTGGGGCAGCTTACTCAGTTTCCCAGGGTCTCACTCCATTTCCCCACCTGATGGTTGGCGTGTTGTCCTGATAGCACATCAGGAACTGATTCTTATTTTGGCTGACTGGGGGGTGGGGCAGATATACACTTCAGCTTGAAGAAATGCAAACAGGAAGCATCCCTTGTTTTTAAAACCTTCTCTCTAGGGGGCAGCTAGGTTGTGTAGCGGATAGAGCACTGGCCTTGGAGTCAGGGAGACCTGAGTTCAAAGCTAGCCTCAGACACATAATACTTCCTAGCTGTGTGACTCTGGGCAAGTCACTTAACCCCAATTGCCTCATTAAGAAAAAAACAAACAAACAAAAAAGAAAAAAACCCCAACCTTCTCTCTCTGTCCCACTGAGGTATGCTCTACAAACCCTGGACAGCTGCCTTTTCCCCCCTCAGGAAATCTGCCTTTTGTTTAGCATGTTTTGTATCTCTGAACACATCCAAAAGGCCACATGTCTATTCATGGATGCAGAGACCTCTCCTTGGAACCCAGATCTCCTTCCACTTTGAGGTTTTATAGCCTTGCATATCTTCATTAGTTCCCCTTAACTCTTAAAATTTTTTAATATATTTTTAATTTATGGAATAAAACAAGCATTTCCATAATATAGTATAATAAAAAGATGATTGCACATGAAACTGCAAATCTATTCTGTATAACTTGCTATTCCTTTTAAATGTGTAATAAAGTTATCATGTAAATTTTTTTCCTTTTTTTTCTTCCCCAGAGAGTCTGTCTGATGACAGCAACACCTAATGGTGATATACCTTGGAGAGAACAGTCAAGGGCCAAATTCAGTTGCTCTTCAGAGGTCCTGTAACTGTATTGTTGCATTCTAGAAAAAAAGGCAGAGTAGTCTCAAAACTATTTTTTTTTACTTTAAAAACATTTTATTTTATTTTTATTGATACTTTTTTTAAAAAGTCAAGTTCATTTGTTAATATTTCCATCCCTGACTCTCCCCCGCCCCCAAGCCAATGAGCCATCCCTTGAAACAAGGATTTAGAAAGGAAGAAGACAAGAGGAAAGTCAGCCCAACACGTATTGACCGCCATACCATGCCACAGGCACCTCTGCAGTGAAAGGAGGCGTGTGTATTTTTTCAGTTTTTTTTTTTAAACCAGACCTGGTCATTATAATTACAGCGTTCACAAATTAATTTTTAAAAATCAAACAAAAATCAAGTGAAGGGCAGCTAGGGATCTTGTGTGCTCTGGCCTCCCACTAATCCAGTGCTTGGTTCATGCTAACTCCTTCCTCTCTCTCTTTCTCTCTATCTCTCCCCCTCCCCTCTCTCTTTCTCTCTCTCTGATTCTAGATGGTGCTTTTTCTTTGTTCTTCACCCTTTTCTTAGACTGTGAGGTCTGTTAAGCTCCATCTGAGCGGTGAGAAGGTAATAATCCAGTGATTTCTTCTGTTTCCACAAAATGCTTTTCTCTAAACGCTGACTTGATTGAAGCAGGGCCAGGTCCTCTTTAAAAGTGCCCCAACTCTCAGGAAGACTGGGCCTCCTTTCCACTTCTCCTTAGGGATGGAGGTTTTCTGACTGTGGCCCCTCACACATGAGATGATCACATTGCATGACTCCATGGAGCTTTCCCAAAAGGCAAACATGCCCCTTCCCAAGCCTCCCACTGGAAAATGAAAACTTCTCTTCTGTGTGCTTGCAGCACAGGCATGATAAGAAGATTACCACCATCTGTCATCTGGCAGGGCATTTAGAAATAGCCTGGACATAATTCAACTTGAGGATCTCTTCTTAGGTCCTGAATAAATAAGTGGGAGCGAAGGGAGAGAAAGTCTGGTACCAAAGGGAAATGGTAGAGCTGTCGGGAGTGAATAGGAGATGTTCATGACAAGATACAGGTGATTCTAAGCCACATAGGCTTAGCTTCAGAGGTAGAACTGTCTGTATCTTTTTTTTCCTACCTTTAAAATAACTTTTATTATATCCTTATAGGAAGGGACAACAAAAATAGGAAGGATTGACTCTGACCAAGAGCAGGATATAGGTGAGTGAAGACATCAGTGTAATCTTCTGTGCCCTCAGAGAGGTACACAGGGTCTCGATGCCTGTGTCTAACTGATCCCTCTGTGGGAAACTTGAGGATGCCATATGGGAGGGGACTCAACGCCTATGGCCGGTGTGTTGGTATCTTCTGCTTAGCTTTTCCCTTTGGTTCAAGAGAAGGTTCTATTGGCTGGGGGATGGGAAAGTGTTAGGGATATAAGAAAGCATCCATAAAGCATTTGCTTAAAAAAGAAATAAACTCTGGAGCACTTGGTAGCCAACGTGCTTATTCCTGTTTCTGCTACTTGAGATTTGGTTTTGGGTCAGCAGGGTTGGGAGCGGACCCAAAGTAGAAATAATTTCTAGAGCAGACTGAGAAGAAGGAATGGGGTCTCTTTTCTGCCTGATGTTCTTGCTTCGAGGTTTTCCAGGCTTGGACTTCGATTTTCTCATGGAAAGAATGAAGTTGCCCTATAAAGTGACCCTGTGGCCCATTGTGACTAGCATTTTCCCCAGTCCTTCAGGGTCAGTGGATAGAAAGAGACCACTGTACCATCACCAGTGCACGTGGTGTGGTCACACTTCAGCCTGCCCTGGGAGCCCGCTGCATTGTCAATGGCCAGGAGGTCACTGACTCCTGTCGCCTGACACAAGGTAAGCTTGTTGGACCCCTCCCTCTCAGTGTCTTCTCTTTGCATTCTGGAAATGGGGAAATTGGGGTGCTTTGAGCTGCTGTAACCATGCATGGCCAGCAGTTCTTAGTCGGAAATCACCATTCTGGGGAATGGGAAAGCCTTTGGAATAGAGCCTTCTAAGCTTCCCAAGAGTAACAGGAAGCTCTCTTTTTATGAACCTGATCCAGAAAAGACAATGGAACTAATGTTCTGATGTGCACGTGGCTAGAGGAGAGGTATCAAACTTTCTACCTGCAAATGCTGCCCATAAAACAAGGAACCAGATTGCAATGTCATTGGGCAGTGTTAAACAAAAGAAATTACAGCTTAAATAAGCCAATCTGTGGTCTGCAGGGATCTGTTCTCGCTGAATTTGACTTTACTGAGCTTGACTGTACTTGTTATGAGATGGGCATTTGTGTTGGGGGGAGGGGCGATTTTGTGGACAGTAAAAAGGATGGGAAAACAAAGAGAGCAGAAAAAAGCATTAAAAATGCAAAAAAAAGTTGAGAAGGGCACACAAACAGGGCAATTTTGTTGCTACCTTGTTAAATTTGCTTTAACAAGAAACCAAACTGTACAGAATGGAAATCAATGGATAAATAAGCCTTTCTTTTGCCATCCTGTGTATTTTGAAATTGTTTTTTGATAATTAAGTTCATGATAAAAAAAAATTAAGGAAAAAAATGGCAACAGAACCTCTGTTTAGTGTCAGTCTTTTTTTGAGATTCATCTGGATTTGAAAATTTCCCACTTGCTTGTAGGAGAGGGAATCCAGTGGCAGAAGCCTAGGATGGAGAGAATCGACCTGCCAGTTAGCTCCATGTTTGTGGATGAATCTAACACTTGAAATCTTACCAGACTTCCCTAGGCAGCAAGGTGGCCTAATGGATGGAGTGCTGGACGTGGAGTCAGAAGGGCCCGAGTTCAAATATTGCCTCAAATGCATACTAGCTTTGTGACCTGGGAAAGTCATTTTTAACTCCTCAGCCTCAGTTTCCTCATCTGTCAAATGAAGATAAATAGTAGCTGTAATCTCTTAGGATTGTTGTGGGGATCAAATGGGATAATAATTTTAAAGCACTTAGCACAACATCTGGCACATATTCAGCACTAAAATCAATGTTAGTTGTTATTATTATTTTTATTGTTGTTGTGAGGATAAAATGAGATAACATTTGTTAATTGCTTTTGCAAACCTTAGTGCTATATGAATGCTAGCTATTGTTATCATTTTAGCAAAGGAAGCCATCCCTTACCAGTCTGGCCCCATGGTTATGTCTTTCCCTTTTTCTTCCCTGAGCTGCTTTTACTGCCATCCAGTTGGTGGACAGTTGAATTTGTGTGTGTGTGTGTGTGCATGTGTGTGTGTGTGTGCGTGCGTGTGTACGCGCCCACACACCTAGCCCTTAGCACAGTACCTGCCACACAGTAAGGACTCAGTATTAAATCCTTTGCTTTCTTTTTCCCAAAGGAGCTATTATTATTCTGGGGGAAACACAGAAATTCCGTTTCATTCACCCAGCAGAGGCTGCTGCGCTAAGGCAGAAGAGATTGGTAAGTATGGTCTGTTTCTTAGGTCGCTGCTAGCCATGGTGCTTCTTGCCATGGGAGAAGCACCAGGAAGGTGTCTTTTTCCACTGTGGCCTTCAGCCCTGCAAGAATCCACCTGGATGAGTTCAGCCTGACAGATGTGCCCAGTAATGGTGGTCAGAGGTGAGAGAATGATGGCTTCTTCATTCCATTTCCTCCTTTTGTCCCCAGCTAGGAGAGGTCTCTGTTGGGAACAGCAGTTGCTCTCTGGAGTGGTTGGATTTGGATGGTGACATCACTGCCCCCGAATTGAGGATTTCCTCTGTGCTTGAGGAGGACAGGTAGGTGAGGCCAATGGGCCCTTCTAGCATGGGGACATTGAAAGACCTAGACCCTCCACTGGTAGATATAGTTATATGAAAAAGAAAAATTCTGGAGCAAAGTGTCAAGTGTATCCTTGGGGAAGATGCTATAGTGTGTGGGTCAGTGAAGGGCTAAAGCTTTCTTCTCTGTTGATGATCTTTATGTGTGGGGAAAGGGAGAGGGACATCTTTTTTATTCCCCCAGCAAAGACACTGATTTGGGCAAAGTAAGGAGGAATATGAAGAGAAGCCCAACTCCACATTAAGGGGGCCAGGGTTTGGGGGAAGGGAGTGGAAAATCACCAAGCTCTTCAGATGGTTAGGTGGATAGAGGGGTACAGAGAGGAACACAGCAGCATGGAGAGAAGTGGATGTGGCTGAATGATTTCCTTCTGAAGACCCCTGGGTGGTTTATAGCTTTCTTTCCCCTATTCCTTCATCTTAAATCAGCTTTTCATGTTTCCTGCTTTCTCATCCCCATTGGATACTCGCTCTGTTTTCTTTAAATTAAAAAAAAACTGAATTTGACACTAAATAAAATGAGAATTTTCATATATAAAGGAGAACATAAAAGAGGATGGTATGTGCAACTGAATCTATCACTACATACAGCTCTCCCTTTTAAGTCTATGATAAATTCAACAATAACTTTTGAAGCTGTCCTGGATGTCTGTGTTTGCTTCTGGCCTTCCTTTTGTATTCTTCCTGTGGTGGTTTGTCCTTTCTGCTTCTATTTCGAATTGAATTTCTTTCTCTTAAAAAAAAAAAGATATAATTGATTTTTTTGTATCTTGGTCGTTTCCTATATATCCCCCTCCTACCTCCCCATAGAACTCTCTCTTGTTGACAAAGTATAACTATAAAAACATAGCAACCCATTGGCCATGTCTGGCAACATGTGCCTCATTCTGCACCTAGAGTTCATCCCTCTCTGCTGGAGGGGAACATGGAGGACAGTGTGATCTGTCTCAGCATGGGTCCTCTGCATCGGGATTAGTCACTGCTTTGGTGAGAGTTCCCTTGTACTTTCCCTTTACATTATTCTGGTCATCCTGTTACTTATTGTACTTTCCATCAATTCATATAAATCTTCCTGAGTTTTTCTGTATTCTTCACATTCTTCATTTCTTTTTTTTTTTTTTGGCTAGGCAATGGGGTTAAGTGACTTGCCCAGAGTCACACAGCTAGTAAGTGTTATGTATCTGAGACCGGATTTGAACTCAGGTCCTCCTGACTCCAGGGCTGGTATTCCATCCAGTGCAACACCTAGTTGCCCCCTCACATTCTTCATTTCTTATGGTGTAGTAATATTCCATTGCATATGTATAACACAGTTTTTTAGCCATTTTAAAATTGATGGGAACCCACCGTATTCCCTTCTTTTTCTTTTTATTCTGTTTGTGTCCCTGGCACTTAACACAAGTAATTGGCACATAGTAAGCACTTGATAAACGATTTTTCATTCATTCTTGCTTTTTGCTACGACAAAAAGTGTTGATACAACAATTTTTTTTTGTCCATATGGGAACTTTGACCTTCTTGTTTTCGTGGAATGAAATCTCCTAGGACTCTCTAGTCCAGAGTCACTGATGAGACTGGTCTGTCAAATCCCAAATATGTCCTTTCTTTCAAAAAGATTAGGAAGAGATTTCAAAATAGAGATACTAGCACCACACCTTACCAGAACCCAGCGCAGGGTCTTGGCGTCAGTCCAATAGGCGAGTTCTCCCTACTGTGTACCTGGTGGCAGTGTGGTGTGGGAGCCTGAGCTTGGTTGAGCAAAGGGACTGGGGAGGGCACCTGCAGGATTAGGGAAAAATACAAATCAGCAGATGAGCTGGAATTGGGTCTGTGTTGGGGAGATTCTGTTGCTCCAGGCCTTGGGCAGGGTACCCCAGGAGACTCTAGGAGACTCCAGAGTCTCCACCTACTCTGAGGCTTAACCTTATTTATTTAGGCAGAGGTGAGTGTGTAGATATGCCTGAAAACACGGAAATGACTCCAGGGACAGGGAAAGGTGACCAGCCTGACTCCTTTCTCCATAGAAGCCAACTCCTGGAACCACAGTGTTGCCCAATTTGAGATCTTTGGGGCTCAGCCTTGAGTGTCTGGAGCCTGGGAAGCAGTCTGGTTGGTCTCTCCCTGCCGCTGCCATAGTGACTAGGAACCTCGGCATTATGCTGTGGAAAGTGCCAGCCTCTGAAGCATCAGGCAAGAGATAGAAGGAAAGGCAGAAAGAAAGGAGGGTCAGGGAGGGGCCCGTTGGAGCCTTTGGAAGCAGATGACCAGGCAGGCTGGGAGGTTACAAACTGAAAATGGGCGGTGATCATACCTGCTGCCTTCTTGGTGGATGGATAGACCCACAAGCTGATGGTTAGCTGAGGATTTCCCCTGAATACTTAGTGGAAGGTTAGTAAAAAAATATTTTTTAATGTGCTTGCTTACTACTTAACAGATCTGTTTAGTTGAGAGCTAGTTTTGTTTACAACTCTGTGTGTGTGTGTGTGTTTGTGTTTGTGTGACATGTCAGTTGTCCCTGCAGCCCTGATCATTTGTCAGCCTTCCCAGACATCCCCATAGGGAGCCCTTCTTCAGTCTCCTCCCATATCTGTTGTTTGAAGGTGGTGATTTGCATTATGAGGAGTGAGTCTGGCTTTTCTTGGGGACAGAGGAGGAGGAGGAGGAGAGTTTCACAGAGGGGAGAACATGAGTGGAAAGGAAAGAGAGTAAGCTGGCGGTGAACATAGATGTTCAGAGAACCTTTCTCTGATAGATTCTTTTAAATAGTTTAAATAATTTAATTTTAAATAATTTTAATTTAAATAAAATAAAATTTTATATATTATATTATAATATACAATATATTATCTATATGTAATGTGATATATAATGTAATATTATAATATCTATATATAATATATTATAAATAAAAATAATTTTAATTTAAATAAAATAAATTTAATTTTAAATAATTTATCCATTTCATGTAAACCATTTAGTTAGATAGAGTTAGGGAGTGACAACCCAGGCACCATGGGAAACGCTGTCTACTGACTGCTTCTCACTTTTCTCTTTGTTTCAGTGTAACCTAGATAATCCCTGTCCTACAGGCACTACCATTCAACATAGGGCACTTGTCACTTTGATTCAGCTTATTTAGACTTTTCGCCTAGAAACAGGTGATCACAGGTGCTTTTTCCTGGGTGTCAGGAAACCAATCTAACACCAGCATCTTAGCCTTGGACTCCCTCGTAGTTATGTAATTGTGGTGTCCTAATGCATAAGAAGTAGGGTAGTTGCTTGCAGTACTCACCTATTCCTTGGTATTCTGGTAAGGCTGCATGAGGGCATCTTGGCATTTCTTTGGGAACCCCTGTGCTTTCACCCAGTGCTGCCTAGAGGAAAGGTGAATGACTCAAAGCACACCAGCTATACTGTGTCAGCCAAGGGTTCAGTTAAACCATCTGTGACTCTCGGGAATGAAAACCAGTCAATAGGATCAAGGGGGCAAGTGTGAAGCTGTCCTACGACTAAAGCAGGGGTGTTGAGATAAAATGGAATCAGAAGGTCTTAGGAGTTTAGGAGGGGGAGGAACTGAGAAGTCAGGATGTCTGAAGGAAGCAGTGGCTGGGGTGGACAGGAAGGCGGTGCTTCTAATTTGGAAGGAGCAAGAATGACTTGGAGGATGGTAGGTGACAGCAATGAGAATCTGGACAGAATGGAATGAGCTTCAGAAGAGAAGGGATTAGTGACTGACAACGCCAGGGGTAGGGTCGGAAAGTGGGGATGGGGCCCAGCATATACCAATGTTTCCTCCTGCCTGTGTTGATCAGGGGTACTGAGAGAGAAGGCAGCCAGTCTTGGAAGCTGTTGGAGTGGGAGAGAGTGGTGGCTGGCACTTTGCTATTCATTTTCTTTCTGATAATACCACAAGTGTCCCCAGGCCAAGCAGCACCCAGAAGTTGGTGTGTTCTAGTGGGAAAGTGACTCTGGAAGGAGAGTTATGATAGCTTCGGCATCTCAGGGTTGGCAGACCAGGACAGCTTTGGCCAAGTGGGAGAAAATGTTTCTTTTCCTCTTCCTCCCCATTAATTGGTGCTTGGGTGAGGCCCTGGCTGCCCAATGCTAGTTCCTGCTCTGTTAACTTCTTAGAAGCATCTAGGTGGTATACTGGATACAACGCTGGGCTTGGAGTGAGGAAGGCCTGAATTCAAATCCAGCCTCAGACAACTTACTAGCTGTATGACCCTGGGCAAGTAACTTAACTTCTGTTTGCCTTAGTTTCTTTAACTGTAAAATGAGGATAATAACAGCATCCACCTTGCAGGGTTGTAGTGAGGATCAAACAAGATAATAGTTGTTAAAAAAAAAAAAAAAGAGCATAGTGCCTGGCACATTGTAGATATCCTTCCTTCACCCTTCTTTTCCTTCCCTGCTGACTACCTTGAGCTTCCCTCTTTCCCTATCTCTGTCTGCAGGATAGTGTTAGCTCCAGTGTTAGTGCTGTCTCTGCACAGGGGGGAAAAAGGTACTATCTGATAGAAAATAGACATGAGACTGAAATAGCCTCGGAGACACCCCAAGGTACCCTGCCCTTAGTGGATTGCAGAAGGTTCAGATAGTGACTATCAGTTTCTCAGAAGAAGAAACTTAAATGAATTATTCCTACTTAGTGACATTAAAGAACCTGGCCTCTCAAATTTCAACCCACTGCTCTTTCCTGTAGGCCCTTGGCCTTGAACTTGTTTGCAGACATGGAAATATTCCTCTAGAATATTTCCTCTTCTCTCTTTCCTCCTTTTTCTTCACTCTCTTTAATCACCACTCTATTCTTTCTTCTCTTCTCTCCCCTCTTTCTCTCTCCTCTCTTCTTTTTCCTCTCTTCCTCCCTTCCTCTCTCTGTCTGTTTTTTTGTGTTTCTGTCTGTCTCTTTCATCTAGGTCACAGATACACTTTTTGTTTAAGGGATTGAGGTTCCAGCAGTAGATGAACACTCCACAGAGTTTGTTTTCTCAAAGATAGAGCTTCTTGGAATGGGGGGAAAGAATCACCTCACAATCCACAAAATCCAAGGATTTTGCAAAATAATTTTGCTTCGTTTCTAATCTGATTTTCAAAAAGTAGCATAGCCTCTGTGAAACTTGGCCATTCATTTTTCAAACAAAGGCCAAAGCTAGGCATGGTGGTGAATGCCTATAATTCCAGCTACTGGGGAGGATGATGGATCTTTTAAGTTTGGGAGTTCCAAGTTTAGGGGTGTCTGCACTAAGTTTAGCTTTAATGTGGTGAGCCCCTAGAAGCAAGGGACTCCTAAGTTGCCTAAGGAGGAGCAAAGCTTCCCAGGTCAGAAATGAAGCAGCAGGCCAAAGAGTAGCTCCTTGTACTTCTTACCTGGCAAGGTAGGGAGTCCCAGAGCCTAAAAAAGGAGAGGGGGAGAAAGAGAGAGAGAGAGAGGGCAGGGGCAGGGAGGTGGGGAACCAGAGCTCTTTAGTTTTGCCAAAAACATAAAGTTTTGCCTCTTTTCTTACCTGGCTATTCTTATTAACTGAAATGATGTCTTGTTTTTCCTGAATCTTCCATCCTAAGAAATTTAGAAGAGATCACTTTTGACTAAAGTTCTACCTGCTGCCTCTGTGACCTCACTGGCTCTTTGTGACCCAACTCACCTCCTCTTTGTTCTTCCTAGTTCCCACAGGCAGCACAACCTTGGGTCCAAATTCTTCTCTGCTATATTGGACCCAAGGGCTTTGCCGAAGGGGAGACTTAGTAAGGAGAATCTTCTGAAAGAAAGTGAATGCCTAAGGGCACCCTGGCTCATGATGGTGTCAGTGGAGTCAGACGGTCCCTAGCTTGACCAAAAGGAAGATCCCATACCCAGAGCCAGGACCTGGGAAGAGTGCCCTCTGAAATATATGCCACTCTTTCTCAAGATGGTTGATTTCTTTCCTCATGGAAATTCCTAACCCTTTCTGTGACAGGAGAGTATGGGGTGTTGTTCCTGAAGCACACCACCAGAAGCAGCTGGACCAAGCAGTATCCCACAGGACGCAGATTTGCCAACAGAAACGCCTTGTCGAGGATTTAAAGCAAGATATCCTAGTTGGGCAGATCAGAGCTGAGCAGGAACTGAAGTTTGAGCAGGCCCTCATCAACCAGCAGATCAAAGACAGTAGGTGACCATCATTTAAGGTGTCTCTCTCACCTCATTTCTTCATTTTCCCCCCTTTTCCTGTGTCAGCTCTAATCTGTCCTCCTTGTGTTGTTTATAGTCTTACAGAGTTGCAGGGAAACATTATGGGGGCGGGGAACTGGAAAAAGGCTCCCAAGAAAGGTGAATAAGGAAACCAACATTCTCATTCCCCCTTAGAAGCACTGCTCTCCCTTCTCCTCCTTCCCGCATGCACATGCATGTTTGTCCGTGTAGCCCCCATGTCCTGGGTGAGACCCCAGCTCCAGGCCCTTTTGGTTTGTGCGTTATCGGTCTCTCTGTTCTAGGGACTACGGCATCTTTCCCCTCTTCTTGCTCGCTGCACATCCCAACCACAGAGTGGCTAAGAGGCCAGAAATCTCCCCCGTCTCCTCCCCATGTGGGCACAAGACAGGTAGAGGGGCAAGCTCTGACTTTCTTTCTGGGTTTTCTTGGTTTTTAGACCAGCAATGGCTGCTCAGAGAGGAAAGCCGCTTGGCCAGCCTGCAGCAGCAGCAGCAGCAACAGGATGGTGTCTTGGCTGAGACAGACCCTGAGATCTTCCATGAAGCTGAACCTCAGACTGGGCCAAAGACCTCCTCAGCTTCGCTGGATGGGGACCGCGAGCGGCTGGTCCAGCTACAGGTCCTCTGGAGGAATGCCCTCTGGGCCGCAGAGCGTAAAGTCAGGCGCAAGAAAGTCAAATTTCAGTTGGAAAGGATTGTCAAAAAGCAGAAACTCTTGGAAGCCCAGAGAAGGCTTGAACAGCTTGAAACACTCTGCTGGGAAGACAACCCGAGCCAGCCTGTGGAATTGGACCTGGGTGTGGATGCCACCTTTCCAGCTTTTCAAAAAAAGAGCAGATCTTCCTGTAGCATCAGTTCCGTGGGGAACCAGAGACTTTGTGGCCTCTCTCTGTCCCCCTCACAAAGGTAAAAGAGTAACAGGTAAACTGGGTAGGGCCTAGGAATGGGATTCTTGGTTAATACCTCCCTCTTTGTAACCCGCCCTTTCTGGAGTGTCACTTTCCTGAGTCCCGATTCTCCTGATGTGCCTGCTTGGTATAAACCTCTGTATTCGGGCTAGCAAATTCCCTGCTCTCCTGATCCCATCCCTTCAAAGGTGGCAGTTCTCAAACTTTTTGATCTCTAGACCCTTTAAAGTCTTGAAAATTATTGCTCACCCCAGAGAGCTTTTGTTTATTCAGAAATCTATTTTCACTTTATACTTTCTCTGTAGTCTCATCCTCATTTCATCTCAATCCTGCTCCATTCTCCCTCCCCCAGTTCCTTTTCCCTATCCATCTCTTCTACTGTGCCCTTTGGAATCCCCAATTTGGTATCAGTTCCCATTCACTCTTGATCTTTTCTCATTTCTTCCTCTTTCTAGTGCTCACTGAAGCCTGCCTTTTTTTTTTTTTTGGTTAGGCAATGGGGTTAAGTGACTTGCCCAGGGTCACACAGCTAGTAAGTGTTATGTGTCTGAGGCCGGATTTGAACTCAGGTCCTCCTGAATCCAGGGCCAGTGCTCTATCCACTATGCCAGCTAGCTGCCCCCAAAGCCTGACTCTTCTGATGGGATGCCCTATCCCTTGTCACCTTCTCTAGTGCTGGATATTCCTTCTTTTGACTCTAGACCACACAAAGTCAGGAAGAAGAGTCTTGCTGCCCATATACCCTTTCCTTGTTCTTTTACCATACTCAGTAACCATCCTCTCTTTTTCTAAAGTTGATCATATCTCATCATGTCTCCCTTATCTTGCCACCTGCCACCCACCTCCAGCCCACTCTCCCACCTTCTTCTTGGTGACTTCAGCACTTAAGACTTTTAATCTTCCCCTGCCTGCTATCCCATGGGCAGCTGGGTAGCACAGTGGATAGAGTACCAGTCCTGGAGTCAGGAAGACTCACTTTTCTGAGTTGAAATCTGGTCAGACACTGACTAGCTGTGTGACCCTGGGCAAATCACTTAACCCTGTTTGCCTCAGTTTCCTCATCTTTCAGATGAGCTGGAGAAGGAAATGGCAAACCAATCCAGTATCTTTGCCCAGAAAACACCAAGTAGGGTCACCAAGAATTGGACGCAGGACTGAAAAACCACTGAACAATAACCCCCCCCATGCCACGCCATTATTATTGGGGACTACAATATTCATATTTATGACCCTACTAACACCCTTCCTTCTGACTCCTTTTGAGCCTCCTCAGTTCCCATATACTCCCCCTCCATTCTACCTTCACTTACTTCCTGTGCTAGTCATACCTTAGACCACTGGTTCCCAAAGTGTAGTCTGGGGACTCAGACTCTTTCAGGGGGTCTATGAGGTCAAAACTTTTTATAATAATATTATAATTTTAACAGTAATTTTAAGATGTTTTAATTTTGAGTATGGTAAATATTGGCAAATAGAACCCACATAAACAAAAGTTCTTTGGGGCCCACAATAATTTTTAAGACTATAAAGGGGTCTTGAATCCAAAAAGTTTGTGAATTGCTGCCATAGACCTTGCCATCATTGGAGACCGCTCTACTTTCAAGACCCTGAACTTTGAAGTTTTCCTTTCTGATTGTCCTTCCTGTCCTTCCATGTCTCTCACAACTTCACTTCTCCTGAGACTGTCCTTCATTCTCATTTTGATTTTTGATTCCTTGGTCCCTCCCAATCTGTCCCTCCTGTTTAATTCTCACTTACCAACTATCACAGTCCTGACCTCCTTCTGGTTATCCATTTAAGTAACCTCCTCTTCTCTGTCTCTGATTTCTTCCTCCTCCTTCTCTAGGTACCCTCTTGCTAACCCTGGATGACTCTGTTTGTAACTTCTCCACTTCTACTCCCAAGCCATTCAGTGCTCCTAATGGAATTCACAATACCTCAGGGACCAAGTCTACTATGAATTTATATGGTCTAAACTGAACTGGGCCGAACAGGCATTCCTTTTATTGACTCCTCATTACATTTTTCACTGGGGTCATTGTTGTCTTTGTCGTGCAGACATTTTTCAGTGGTATCTGACTCTTTGTGACCCAATTTGGGGTTTTCTTGGCAAAGATACTGGAGTGGTTTGCCCTTTCTTTCACCATCTCATTTTACAGATGAGGAAATGGAGGCAAAGAAGGTTAAGTGACTTGCCCAGGGTCACATAGCTAATAAATGTTTGAGGCCAGATTTGAACTTGGGAAGATGAGTCTTCCTGACTCCAGGACTGGCACTCTCTATTCACTGTGCCACCTAGCTGCCCATTTCCATTAGGGGCTATATACCAGATCACCTCCTTAAATTGCTAACTCTGTTGCCACCCTGCTACCTCAATAGGTTACCTTCCTTTCAATCTTGAGGCCATTCATTAAGAACTCCCACCTTTATCTCCTCCTTCCCTCAAAGTTTCTTTATGCCTCCACCCTTTCTTTCCTTCTCTCTGTTTGATCTCATAGGATGCCAGCCTCTTTCTTGTAGAGGCTAGCCCATGTAGCCCACATCAAAGAAGACACTGTGCTCTATGAGTAAAGCAGAATCGCAGTAGCTCAAAAGAAATGTGAGATGCACAAATTTAGAGACATCTGTATTCCACATGTTCATATGGACTATTTGTGCCCTACGTGTGGTAGAGCCTTCCGAGCTCGTCTGATCAGCCGTGGCCGGGCACACTGTACACTGACCCCAACCTAGAGATGTCATTTTGGTCCTCTTCAAGAACAAAGGCTAACAACCAGCCTGTCTACCTTTACCCTTGATTCTGTCACTTCTAGGGTCTTGCTGCATTAATCTTCCCCTGCTCACCTTTCACCTCTTGTCTCTCCCCTCTTGATTCCTTCCTCCTGCCTGCAAACATATGCAGATTTCCTAGTACTAAAAGAAAGAAATGAAACAAATTGTTTCCTCCATCATATTACTCCCTAAAGCTATCATATTGTATTTCTTCACCTTCACTGTCAAATTTCTAAGGAAAGTAGAGGACCCAAATGCCATCCCTTTCTACTTCACGTTTCATCATGCTATACTGTCTTTAGTGCCCCATCACTCTACTGGAACCTCTCTTCCCAGAACACTGTCCTGTGACTTGCTAGTTGCTAAATCCAGTGGCCTTTTCTCAGTTCTCATATGAGGCTATTCCTGGAGCAATGGATAGGGCACTGGGCCTGGAGTCTGAAAGATTAGACTTCAAATCTGGCCTCAGATGTGCATTAGCTGTGTGACCCTAGGCAAGTTACTTTACCTTTGTTTGTCTCAGCTTCTTTAGATGTAAAATGAAGCTAATAATAGCATCTACCTTGCTTGTGTGGATCAAATGAGATATATATGAAAAGCACTTAGAACAGTGCCCGGCACACAGTAGGTGTATATAAATGCACATTTCCTTCCCTTCCTCTTTCCCTTTCCTCTTCCCCTTTTTCACCTCCCCCTCCTGTCCCTTCCCTTTCCTTGCCTCCTAT